TAATAATAAAATAATAGAGTTTAGACCTATAAAGAGAAAATCTTTATCCCTAATAAAGTACTTTAAACTATCTTTAATTATTACTATTACTAAGTTATATATTATAATAGCCTAAAAGAAATAACCTAAGTTATATAGTAATATTATAATAATTATAACCTTAAAAGTAAAATATAAAGAAAAATATATTAATATAAAAAATACTATAAAAAAACCTAATTATTAGTAAAAAGATTACTAATTTATAAATAAAATAAAGCTATAAAGATATTTTATTAAATTAATATAACTATAATATTATTAAACTCGCTATCCTTAGTCTAATAATCTAGGATTAAGATAAAAAGTATTAAAATCCTTTCTTTTAACCCCCTATAGAGCTCTATAACCCTAGGGCTAGAGAAATTACCTCTAGCTAAGAATTAGGCCTCTTTTAGGTTATTAAGGTTATTAGAGAGAGCCTTATAGCTAGTTAGCTATTATTAGCTTACTTTAAAAGGTAGCTTCTTTATAGGCTCTAAGTTAAGGTAATAAAAGGTATAGACTAGAAGCTACTTTGCTATTATAGTATAATAGTCTTATATAGCCTTCTTATACTTATAGCTAAAGGGCTTCTTTATTAGCTATAAGGTATCTTATTAATTAATCTTAAAGAGAGTATTTAAAGGAATCTTATTAAAAGCTATAAGGCCTATAGCTTCTTAAATAAGCTCCTTAAAAGCCTATAAGAAAAAAAAAAAATCTAGCTTAAAGGTCTCTTTTAGAGATTCTTTAATTAAGGAAAAATTAAGAGAAAATAGCTCTCTTAAGAAATTCTTTTCCCTATTAAAGTTAACTAAATACCTTATTAATCTTAACCTTTAAAGCTAAGGATTAGGAGTAATAAAATTATTAAGCTATTTTATAGCCTTAGCCTCTTTACTTTTAATAGCTAGGGCTTAGGCCTTAAAGGTAGCCTTAGCCTCTAGAAGAAAGAGGGCTTCTTTAGAGCTATTACCTTCTAATAAGACCTTAAAGTATTTACTATAAGGCCTTTACTTAAAGAGCTATTAATAGGCTATGCCGGCTCGTTAATAGCTTTTAGTAGCTATAAAAGGCTATAAGGCTATTATCTTAGAAGGCTAGTTATCTTAGCCCTTTTATTAGACCTTATAAAAGACCTATAGGTACTCTTTAATTCGCTATAGCTTAAAGCTAATATAGAAGTAACTAAGCTTAAAGGTATAGCGGAAGCCCTATTATATAAGCTCTCTAAGTTATAAGATAAAAGGGCTTAGAGGAATAAGCTTAGGAAGCCTTAGAAGGTCTTTCTAGCCCTAAAGAAAATTAAGCCTAATAGCTTACTCTAGGGTAGGCTTAATCTCTTAGAGGGAAAGCTAATAATGCTATTAGTAGAGATATTATTAGATTTAATTAAAAAGAATTATAGTTTTATAGGTTTTATAAATTAAAATAGAAAAAGCAAAGATATAAATAAAATAATTTATAGCTATAAGGCTTATAGGTAATTAAAGTATAGGTAAAGATAGAGATTAAAAGTAAATAATTAAGAAAAATTAGAGTCTTTATAGAAAAGTAAATAAAAGAAGAAAAATAAAGGTTAAAGCTTATTAGCTAAGGAATTACTTTAATTATAGCTAATAAGGTAATTAATATAGCTAGGTAGCTAAGTTATAGCGATAATTAGGGAGTTTTAGTATAGCACTAGCTATATTAATTACCCTATTAAAATTTCTTTTAATTTTCTTTAAATATTAATAATTAATTCTAGAAAAATACTATAAGAAAAGGAATTTTATTTTTAAACTCCTCGTAGCTTAAAGTTATATATATCTTCTTTTTTATAACCTTAGCCTTAGTAAAACCCTCTTTTTTAGAAAATATCGGCTAATTAAAGAAAAAAATATTAGCTACCCTATAGTCTACTAGCATAAAAAACTTCCCCTATAGAAAAAAAATGTCGGTAGCTTAGCCGACGTTTTTCATAGGTGATAGGGTCTATTTCTATCTCTTCTTTCCCTTAATCCGAAGGGCATATTGTTTCATAGTCACAGAGGGTAGCTCTGTTCGTGTATCCCCCCATGGCATGATGGGTGGCCTCCCACCTGTCTAGTAGAAACTATATCGTAAAGGCCAAGAACTGGTCGTCGGCGTTGAAGAAGTCCATCCGCTCGGCCCTGTTGACACCCGCGGCCGCCAGCTTGCGAGCCAGCTTACTGTTGCCCCAGGACTCAAAGATGTGGCCTACATTACGGATAAAGTCCAGGAGGTCACCCATGGCGCTTGGCCCGGAGTACGCCTCGACCAGGACCGGTTCCATACCCCGGAGTTTGCACTCGATGGCTGCTGTCAGGCCACCGAAACCGGCGCCGACGAGGAAGACTCTAAGTGGCTTTTGTGACATGTTGAAGTACGTGGTATCGATCGGTTCAGGTTGAGTACAGGAGCTGTGGACATGTGGTTTCAGCGACAGCTATCTTTCGCGGTCACGATCGCTTTTCAATAAGAGAGCACTCGGTTCGATCTTCAGGCTTAGTTAACCCATCAAGGGCCAGGCTATAACTATAATAAAGAATAGATCTTAAATATAATATAATATTATAACCTAATATTAATATAATAGCCTAATTAAACTTCTATAGTAATAAAAGAGTTATACCTAGTTATATTATTATAAAAATCTAACCTCTTATAGGTATTTTAATTACTTTAATTTTTATATAAAAAATAAGAGAATTATTTATCTCTTTATCTTTTTAAGCTATAATTTCTTAATATTATATCTTTTAATATAATATTAAGAACTATAATTAATTAAGTAATTAAAGTTATTAAGTTATATAATAATATTACTATTATTTAATATAAGAATTAATATTTTTTACCTTTTAGTCCCCTCTATAAGATATATAATTTCCTTCGTAATATATAATTATTATTATTTCGGGGTATTAATATAATAAGGATTACTATAGAATAAATTATTAAGCTAGATATTTATCTTAAGCTTATAATCCTAGGTAAAGAGATATTCTTTATAACCTTAGAGTATCTAAGGGTATTATAGAGCCTTAAGTACTTTATATAATATTAAGAGCTATTATTACTTAAAAGTCTTAGGGATAAAGAGCCTAATAAGTACTTATTTATCGAGGTTATAGAGAGAAATATAGCCTAGATTAATAGCCTATTAGATATAATCTAGTAGCTAAGAGAGGCCTAGCGAGAGGAAGAATATAGGTAAAGCGGGGAAGTCAGAGGATGGGCTATAGAGGATATATTGCTAGGGCTTGGGGAGGGGATTAAGGTTTTTAAGTCATTAAGTCATAGGAGTAACTTAAGGGAAGGAAGAAGGTTTCGGTCATAAAGATAGAAAGGTTTAGGTAGTGGCTACTAGGGTGAGTTAACCTATGAGGAGTATAGGAAGGAAAATATTAGTTAGAGCTTAAATGTAATATCTCGGCGAATTGCCAAACTTGTTGGTTGGCGCACATATCATCTTTGAACATAATGGAGCACTCGGTTCAACATGGCCGAGCATCTCTCAGCTGTCCCTCTGCTAGCTCGCAAAGACCAGCCAATGAGGAGATAATGCATGGTCAGAGGCGGGGATGGACTCTAGCCCCAGATAAGCTCGAACCAACTGGAGAAACCATGAGATCCTGAGGAGGGGTAGGGCGCCGTGGTATGTATGTAGCAGGGCTTGTGGGCTCAAACGGTTACTGAGTAGGGTACTCAGTGACAGTGAGTACCTACCCATGAGTCCCCCGGGTTATTTCCCAATTTGCCAAGCCGGCCGGCCTCCTCAGGCCCAGCATCACTCCGTGGGATCCATATCATAGCAAATGACTACGTCGACGGCCATGCTCTTGAGCCTGATCTCTCTCAGCACTGAGAGCCGTACCTAGCGTCTCAACTTCGACCGTCCATCCACAATCATGGTATTCGAGGCCAAGTCTGGGTCACAGTTTCACCGCGTGCCCAAGCTGCAGGGGGGACCTGATGCCGTCTATTATGGTGAGGCCCTGTAGGAAACCAAGAGTCTTTCTCCCTGTGCTTACCATCTCTTGTTGCACAGGCGACATCCTCACCTCCAAGGCGTCTGTGAAGAACCCTCTGACTGGGTCCGTGTTCTTGCTAGATAACTGTGCTCACCCTGAACCTGCTCCCTTGTACGATCACGACGAGACTGGGCTCCGAGCCTGGACGTGCGTGGCTGATGACTTTGAGGCCAGCTGTGGCTGCAAGACGAGACGGGAGAAAAGGCCATCCTTCAAGCCGACGACACCTTTTTCATACATAGAAACAGCAGCATCACCTTTTCCACTCCTAGATTCGCAGTGACCTACAAGATTGCCGCTGGCCCGAGCCCTCGCCTGTGATGGTGGGTTCGACTTTCCCCAAGGTTGGCCTCCAAGGATGCGACTGAGCTGAGTTCTTGGCATGCAGAATTCCCAGGCAGGCACATGATGGAGAGGACTATGATTAGTAGATGAGAATGCTTGTGCACCGGTGGGCACTTGGCCTACTCAAGATACGAGGAACAACTAGATCAAAATCTGCATCTCTCCTCGATCCTGCATAATGTCCTGCCAGCGCCGAGCCTCGGCGGCAGGGCCCTGCGACGTGTCACGTTGAGCCCATACTGCCTCCAGTCCTCGCTTGCCATTGGAGCAGTTTTTTATTCCCAGGAGCTCTAGGGCGGTCCATCGTGACCGTATGTAACCGCGCTCCTCGGCATGGTCCAGCTCGGAGCCGATGATGACTAGGCACCAGCCGAGGTTTGCCCCAGGGCCCAGGGCATCAGGCACCAAGGGGAGCAGATCAAGAGATGCACGGAGCGAGAGCTGCATTTCATCGCTCAGGGTCATGCTGGGGCCATGGGCTACGCGAAACACGTAGAGATGGAGGCAGTGGCGGAAGATCTCGGCCGTGGCTACCATCCGCCGACACAGCTCCGCCTTGTCCATGGACAGCAGGGTGGAGAACCGGCAGCGGCTCTACTGGTATATGACTCCCAGGGATGGTTCAGATCCCTCCGGTATCTGCGTCTGTCGGATCTTGGTCTGCAAGGCTTCGGCACTGGCGAGCGCCTCTTGCTGTGAGAGTTTGCCGGTCGAGCGCAGCGATTCGAGCTCGGATGCAGCAAGCTGGGAATGCCGTCAGTATCTCTCCACTAGTCATGCGGATGGGCAAGGCATACCATCAGCCGTGGTAGATTAGTGGAGCAGCCGAAGAGAACGTCGATGGTGTCTCCAGCCTCGTCCAAGCCCGGCGATGTGTCCAGCCATGATTCGAGCCGTGGTATCCCTGGTTGGCCAAAGTTGAGGCTGTAGTGTGTGTCCAGCAAGCAGACCCAGGCCTTGAGGAATGGACTCAGGTCACAGCCCTGGGCTCGAGAGGTGACCCAGCCATGGATGGCGTTGTAATGGGTCTGCCAGCGATTTGAGCCGGAAAACACTTGGCACGGTTATTCAGATGAGCCTTCCTCTCACGGTCGACATGAGAGAGCGGGCCATACCTCGAAAGAGATCAGAACTCACATGGTAGCCAGGGTGTTGGGGGTGTCGATGAGCTGGGGCTGTCTGAACCTCCTCGACAGAGCCGCTGTGCTGGCCCTGAGGTATGCTCGAGACTCTGTATCTTGCACACCCTGCCAGCGGTGGTGGTGAGAGGATGCGACTGCCAGGATGCCGTTCACCAGCGCCGGCTCCTCCATGGCGAGGGGCAGCAGCTGGCGGTACCCGTTCCCATCGTAGTCAACTGCCAACGGGATCCTGGAGATGTTCTTTGCCATTTTATTAGACAGTGGCCATGTAAGATAGAGGAGGAGGGACTTGCGCAGGAAGTGCTGCATGAAAAAGCTGTCCTTCCCGTTCAGGCTGGGCCAGGGCATCCAGGCCGAGGGCGACTGCGAGTGTGTGCCAGCCAGTAGCACAGGTGACGAGCACGCGCCGGGCAACGCTCCCGGCTTGCTGGGCCGTCTTGTGCTCCTCCGAGCCCTTGGTCTCGATGCGGTATCATCCGGCAGCCGGGTCTGAGCCCCAAACCCACGGCAACGCACACCATACCTGACACAAGTATCGCAGCCTGGTTCAAGCGGTTAGGTCTCGGGTATGGGTCCGAGGAGTGAAGGACTCACGTGGCAGGCCTCCATCGCATTCTACGTGACGCCTCAGGCAAGTCCAGCAGGCCCCGTGGTCGTTTCGCTTCGAGATGGTGGCTATGTCTCGCTGCATTTCTTTCACCTTCTGCTATGGATTCGATTCGATTGGGAACACGAACTTGAGCGCGTGGGTGCGGGGAAGCTTTTCCGTTGATGATAAGGGGGTCGGCTATCCTTGGGGCAACACGTGACCGTCTATGGCGGAACCATGATAGCAAACAACCGCAGGTTTCGGAATCGTGTGACAGGGTTAATTCGTCTTAATTCTACTTTCACATTGACGACTTGACCTCTCCTGCTTCATCAGAGACTATGGCCAACTGCCAAGATTCTGCAAGTCAATGTCCACATCCACGGGGGGGCAGACCGAACTTCATTTGCTGCGGATGCCCGCGGGTGCTCCAGGTTGTCGTTCAAGATCAGCGTCAGCATCTCGGACACGTCAACACTGAACCCGTCATTCGGCACAGGCCATCCCAGAGCGCTGCCTGTCGATGTGTTGGCCGCTTCCAGCTGATCTGGCAGGGCCATGTCCAGATCCAACTGGTCCGTGTAGATCTGAATCCAAGTAGCTTCCCGGCATGGAGCTTCTCTTTCTCTCATGGGAGCCTCCGATCGGGCATAGTCGCGAGGAGTTCGTTTCTGGCGTGGTGATGGGGTAGGCGAGGGTTTCCAGGATAGAGGGACCTTGATCTTGTCCTGGATGCCCGGATAGCGGTCAAAATAGGTCAAGAAGGAATTCTCTGCGGGACAGCCCTCTGGATCCAGATAAGCAGCGGCGTCGTAAAGGTGGAAGAGCATTTCAACCTACATGGCTTGGCGTAAGTAAGAGGTCACTACAAGCAGATGCCAAACACAAGCATACCCAGTCATTGGCTGGCTTCAGGAACTGCCGCAGCGACACGACAATGGTGAAAGTGAACTTGAGGCTCTCAACCATGTTGGTCCCCGACATGGAGCCTGCGTGAAGAGGGCTGATCATGACCAGTGCGGAGAGGACACACGAAAGCCCTATCCAGAATGATTGCTTTCGATCCCGTTAGTATCAGATGGGTGGTCACGTGGATCCCTTCGAGACATACTGCAAAGAACTGACCATCTGCAATGAGCTCCCTGCAGACGAGGCAGATGGCGGCTACGCTGGCTTCGCATCGACTGATGCGCTCCCTGATGAAGAGGTCTGGGGCTGAAGGGAAATTAACCCAGTGCAGAACATGTGCCCCTTCCCGACACCCGGTCGTCTTCCGAGGGATCGGCAGAAACGTTCGGTTCGGCGAGATGATGCTGCAGTGGCTGACCAGCAGGGCGATGGAGGTTTCCGGATCCTTGGGACAGGCGTCTGATACTGCAGTTGAAAAGGGCCCAGGCCATCGTGTCATGAACCCATCAAGCTCTTCCTGGATGCATCGGAAATCCGAGTCTTTATCCCAAGGTCGGGTTTCCTGCTGTGTAAACGGCTTGCGGCACAGTTCCTGGATGCGTAGGATGATCCAAAGTCTCCTCCACACAGGCGTGTCAGACGTGGCACTTGACAGGCTGTGCTGGGGAGCTCGCTGCTGCGTCAAGTGCAGATCAGGGTTCCCAATACACATGATTGCTCTTGCCACGGCGAGGTACTGAGATACAACAGCCAGGGCCTCGGCGTCGCTATCAAGAGCCTGCCCTGCGCTATTCAGCTGAACAAGGGCCTCGGTCATTGCTTGCGAGGACGGGTTAGTGACAGAGCAACCAAGGTTTTCAGGGCACCTCACCAATATCCGACCAGGCCCTGCCCCCGGATCCCGAGTTGATGGCATGCTCTATCAGGAAGCAGCATAGACGAAGGTCGGAGATGCTGAGGCCCTGTCTTGCCTGCTGCTCAAAACAAGACCCGAGGTTGCTGGTCTCGCTTGGTCGTGTGAGGATGTGTACCGAGAACCTGGCGTTGCAGGCGCACATGGCGAGAAGCAAACGTCGAGGGAGATTTCCAGAGGCCAATCCTCGCGCGAACTCCTCAATAGGCAAGACCCGGTGGAGGAAACCGCTTGTTCGCCTCCAATGTAGCTCCAGGAGATGACAAACAAGGCCCAGCTGCGCCTTGTCCGAGCTACGTCCTAGTTATAAGCCGTCGTCTTGGAATCAAGAGACACTCTACCCACGGATTATTTGCCGACTTACCCTCAAACAAGACACGTTCCATATCGGATTAGCTCAGCGGCACTGGCGGAGCATCGTGCTCATCTTCAGACTCGTCGTCTTGGACCGGCTCGACATCGATAGCCGCATCAGCCTCGGACATGACAGAGTTGGACCTCACGGCCGGGGGCCCCAAAGGTGGCGTGTTGGGTGCATCCGACTAACTCAGCTGCGCGCCAGTTGGTTCTCGGGCCTAGGGACGAGGCCCTCGTCGACCGCGGCCTGACTTGTCGATCCAGCATTGTCTCCTGTTGGCAGCACAGTACTGACAGCGCACAATGCCAGAGCATTTGATCTGTCGGCGTGAGCATCAGCGGCACCAGGATATACACGGGAAGTGTCGACATACCCTCCGTTTACGGCATCCTTCACAGGCCATCGTGACCTTCCTCCGAGTCGAGATATGCCCTTGAGGTTGTGGCATGGTCTGGTGTCGCTTCCGATGCCGCCGTCAACTCGTGTCAACCCGCGCAAAGCGAGGCTCGGTCGATGCTGACTAGGGTCGGCGGAGCCCATGGTTGACAAGAGGACGGTTGGCCGCAGGCGGTCAATCACGGATTTTTCCCCAGGACCAAGCTTATCCGCACTGGCCAGAGGGGTCTCTCGTGTGTTAGTAGGTCGGTAGGTACATATGTCAGGTCTGTGAATCGTCTGCTGTCCATCACGACTACATCTGATTACCGCTCCTTCTACGACAACATGGCCAAGAAGACCAGCGAGGGTTTCACCTGGACACCATCGACGGGCTTGACCGATGGTCTCCCGACTGCGGGAGTGGTCAACTCTCCCCGGCGCATCAAGCTAGTTCAGGACGCGGTTTGCGATGTCATCGTCATCGGAGCCGGATACGCTGGTCTCGTTGCCAGCCGAGATCTCTCTACTCAAGGTAGCGTCTCTCTGTGCCCATCAGCCAGCGAGCACAAAGTTGTTGACCGTTTCGACAGGCAAGAAGTCATTGCTGCTGGAGGGCCGAGACCGGCTCGGCGGCAGAACGTGGAACGCTTCTATCGACGGGTTCAACTATGAGATGGGAGGCACCTGGGTGCACTGGCAGATGCCTCACATCTACCGCGAGGTCTCTCTCTACGGCCTGGAGAACGACTGGGTGGTTAGGCAGAATCCAGGATCTCGCGTCGATTACTCGACTCTCTGCACCTAGAAGGAGCAGCTTCAACTGACGCACGATGATGAGGTGGGTGTTGCATCTCCGGTTCCTCGTCTCGTCCATGCACTGACTCGATCAACCAGACGACCATATACTCGCGCGTCCTTGGCTTGTTCTGCAACGCCGACGGCGACCACCTGCGTCATTCCTGGAAATACGCCTTTGGCACCGATCAGTCGCCGGAGCGGGTAGCCAAGCTGGACAAGATGTCGTGCCAAGATCGCTTGGATGAGATCAGAGCTCAGCTCTCCAGCAACGAGCTGGCCATGCTGGTGGCCATCCTCCAGCAGATGGGCGGTGCCGAGGTTGGCAAGATAGGCTACTTTTCTGTTATCCACTGGTGGGTTCTGGGTGGGCATTCCGTCCTCGGGCTTAACCACATGGCCCTGCACACCCGCCTCGGCAGTGGCAACAGCACTCTTCACCGCCGCATCTTTGACCACGCCGTCTCTACTGGCCAACTATCATATAGCTTCTCTACTCCGGTGGCGAGCATCCGAGAGGCGGACGGTGTCGTCACTGTTCAGTCACGCCAAGGCCAAGCCTGGCGTGCCAAAGCCGTCATCTGCACCGTTCCTCTCAACGTCTTGACTTCGATCCAGTTTGAGCCTCCTCTGCCGTCGGCCAAGGTCAAGGCAGCTCGCCAGGGCCAGGTCAACAACTGCAACAAGATTCATTTCGACGTCAAAGGACCTGACCTGCCATGGACCTCGCTCGCGTCTCCCGGCAAAGGGCTCGTCTCTGCGTTTGGGGATGGCCTCACTCCCGCCCACAATACCGGCGTGGTGGCCTTTGGACCTGACCCAGATGCGCACAACGGCATCCGCCTTCGGGACCTCTGCTCTGTCCAAGCTGGTCTGATGCACCTGGCACCTGAGGAGCGCGGAGAGGTTGTTGTAGAACGGATTGTAAGTGTTTCCGCCGTGCATGACTGACGAGTTGCTCCAGGTCAGCCACGATTGGAACGAGGATGAATTCGCCCGGGGGTCGTGGTGTATCGCACCGCCAGAGTTTGTGACGAAATATCTCAAAGCCCTGCAGAGGCCACACGGAAGCCTGGTTTGCCAATGCTGACTGGTCCGACGGCTGGCGCGGCTGGATCGACGGAGCGGTGCAGATTGGTACTCAAGCCGCTCATCAGATTGTACAGGACCAGCGTAGGTTCGAGGAGAAGCCCGAGGGAACTAGGCCTCTCCATCATGTGAGGCACAAGGGTGGACGCCAATCTTCCAAGCTCTAGTCGTTTGGACTCGCTTGGTCAATACATGTACATAGCAACCCTGGTGTTTTAGATCAACAATAACAAAGAACACGATCTGTTTTAGAAGCAAAATGCTACATTATGAATTGCTTTACTATTATTACCCATCATAAAGCCGTCTATGACATTCAGAGCCCTACGGTTATCCATCCTCAACAACGGAACCTCGTCAGACTACAACCTGTACCTCCCGTCCACCAAGAACGACTGACGAGGATGGCCAGTTTTCACCAAGTATCCGTACTTCTTCTGGGTTCCGAAGTCATTCATTTCGAGGAAGCCTGTGAATCCAATCACAGTTTGATCCGCATTTCCCCCTCGTTCCCCAAGGGGTGGAAACTACCCCGCCTAAAGGAATCCTAAGCGGACTATCGTCTAACTGGCTCGATAAGGAGGCAAGGGAGGTTATGATAAGACCAACTTGAGTCGTGCAGCTTTCGTGGCCAAACCTATTCCTCTCTAGTGGGTTCCTAGCAAGACAATGAATGACATGAGGCACAATGACCTGTTGCCCCTGGGTCTTGCCAGTGGTATCTTATCAAGAGCCTCTTGGCAAGCGGCTACCCTATGTCTATCAACCAAGTTCTTGCCTGGCTATCTTGATCCTCTAACCCATCAAACTGTCTCCGACTCTCGACTGACTCCCTCATGGGGTCACGACTAGCGGATGGCGGCTGACAACTTGCTGTACCTGTGGGCCACATCTTAGCACTGCTCTTCACAGACTGCAGGCGTAGTAATGCAATCTTCAGACGAATTAAACCATGTAAATAATAGAAAGCCTGAAATGACCACACCACAGACCTGAGGAGAGGAGATTGGAATAGATTTTCTGGACACCTTTAGACTTGTCATCCACCACCCCCAACGTCAACGTGCTTATCCGTGGTCATGCGCCTCCTTTCACTAGACGCGCACATGTCATCACGAAGCTAGGATCCAACCCCGCACGACTCGTTTTTACTTCGTTTTTACTCTTAATACAGAATTTGACGCAACCCTTCATCATGGACAAACTTCCCTACGCACTCATTTCGCTCATTGTCTCGTGTCTCCTGGAGGATGATGAAGGAAACCGAAAGCCTTGGTCAAAACCACCACCTATCGTCCTGTATGCGTCCATCTCCCGCTCATGGCAGGACGCCGTTGAGATGCACACCTTTTCCCAGGTGAAGGTGCGTAGCGACGAGTTTTCTCGCTTCGAGACAGCCTTTTGCCACATGCGCCGGCGGCGAGCTGTCTCTACAATTGACTATGATATTGTGCTACCGCCGTACAGTCAGGCACGGTGCTGGAAGTTTGAGCGACCACATGAGCATGCAGAAAACATGGCCGTCTTCTCACGGGCCGTCCATGCCCTCATCAGCAGCCTTCACGCGTGGCAAACCGACGAGGAAGCCGTCAATGGCGCTGGCGCTGCAGGGAGTGGCTGTCGGCCAATACAGCTGAATGTGAGGGCAGAATCGCGGCTTGATAGCAGCAGTCTTCAACGCCAGGGAATAGGTCTCTACCGTATGGGTGGCCACTTCCTCGACTTCACTGAGCCATGTTCTGTTCTTCCCAAAGTTCGAAGGGTTTCTGAGCTGAGCATCAGAGGAGTACTCAGACCACTGCATCCCAACGCGGCCTTCAGGATTATTTCGGCTTTCCCAAGTTTGGAGTATATTTGCATAGACTTGCTTGAACCGGATGCGGTACAACAAGGTATGCAAAGACAACATCGCTCTGGTAAGTCGGTTCTATCATGCCAGTCATATCCCAGCTTTGCATTCCAGTCCTAACTCCAAACGTCAGCCCTCACGCAGCACATCTCGTCAATGAACACGATGAGCTTCTCCTCGCTAAGAACGCTCTACCTTAACTGGGACTCATGTGAACCGCTGAATCATAGTTTTACACCAAACAACCTTGACGGCCCTGGACAGGGTTCAATAGACACCCTCAGCACGGCTCTGCATAACATATCACAGTCACTCCCTATCGCCGAGCTCTACTTGTATGGTCCCTTCAGAATATCCCCGGAACTCTTTTGGCCCAATGATTCGCCAGCTCCTGATTCTCCTCCACACTGGCCAGCATTACAGTGCCTCACAGTCAACGCAAGTATTGTCGCCTCTGACGGCATTTACTACTATACGGGGACACCAGGAACTCCAGAGTCAGAAAACGACGATCTATGGTGGCCCGACAACTCCAGAGCGGATGGCGAGGTGGACAATTCCGGCTACGCCAGCGATGATTCCCGGGTGCGCGACCCGTTTGACCGGCAAAACATACGTAGGAACAACGGCACATCGCCCCTCAATGACTGGCGATCGGAATTAGACCCAAGTCAATTCAACCCCCTGGTGCTCGCTCTGTCGCGGGCTATCTGCTGCATGCCGGTGCTGGGCGAGCTGGACTTTTACATGGGTATGTCGGACATTCAAGGACCCTCTGGAATTGTCCTTAATGGCGAGGCCGAGTGGGATGTGGCGCCGGTGCTGGCGGGAAATAGAGAGATTGAGCACATTAAGCGAAGGTGTTGGAAGGCCGAGATCGGATGCAAAGCCAAGTGGGAGCCTCCAGGGGAAGTGCTCGAACTTTGGCGTCGTTTCGTTGGGCCAGGTGGCGATATCACGGTTAACAAGCGATCTATGTAGTAGGCTTTTGGAAAGCTAACTCTGGCTATGGCTTTGGTGTTTTTATTTACCCTTAGACACTTGAGAGTTCAAACCGTAATGTCAAGTTGTCATAAGTAATCAGACATCCTAATAGGTTCCTCTGTGATCCGTTGTTTGTTGAAGACATGCACGTCGAGCTTTGTGGTCTGGATTTCGATACACTTGAACAAGCACAAGCTTGTCCAGTGTTGAGTGCGCGAGATAACGCTGCGACAAGCTCCATCCGCGACGGTGTTGCACGGCCACCTGCAATTCGGGCCTGAGCACATTGAGGTCAACACGAACTTCCAACCTTCTAGCCAACATTCAACAATAAAGAATGGCGCGGCCTTACCGGAAATCGGCACTCTACATCTTTCGACTCTCATCAAGCATGATGTGCCGTATCGACTCAAGACATTGATTAAAGCCTATGGGTCTTGGGACCCCTGTGAGTGCCTGCTTATTGGCCTGACGAGAACTTTTGGAGACCTTACCTGCGATGACTCTGGGATAGCCAATGAGGAAATACAAAAGAGACTTGCAAGGGTATCAAAACCCATCGGCCCTAATCAACATTGAGTCGATACGGTATTAGGAAACAATAATTTCCACTAGCTCTTTACATAGCGTCGCTTGAGCCAATAGTCAAAAGCCCGCCTATGGGACGGAGCGCTGTGGCTTGGAGCTAACGTCTGCCCCTATCTCCGAATCCAATGTTATCATCGCCTCAGGGTTAGAAGCCCCCGGGTGATTTCTGCTTAATTAACAACTCTCGCCAGTTTTCTTTCATTCATCTGTCAAGCAACTGTCTATTCTTACCCTTTTCCAGCCACTCTTTATCCGTACATGCATCTCATTTCTGCAGCCATGCGCTCGTTCCCCTGCCTTGTGGCAGCCGCCCTCTTGCTTGGCAGCACCTCTGCCTCTGCCGGCCCGTGCCAGCCACAGTCTTGGACTACATTGATCTCGACCACGGACACGGTGGCTATCTCGTCGAGTACAACAGCTTTATCCAGCACCAGTGTTACCGAATCCGTCTCGGAAACCAGCGCCACAAGCACCAAAGCTATCAGTTCATCTATTTCGGAAACAAGCACAGCGTCTACCACCATAGTCACCTCTTCTACAGAGACCTCAGCTATTCCTGGCACAACCACGTCTGATTTTACCACCATAACCACCACCACCAGCCAGGCACCCATTCCAACAGTCAGCCAAACATTTGAAGTCAAAGCCGCCCAATCCGACAACACAGCCGTCAATGGTGCCGTCCTCCACGTCACCAACAACCCCAGCTACGCACTCTATCTCATCTCACCGCCTCGGACTTCGGGCTCGGTCCTGCCCGGTGCCTTCTCCATCGAGGAAGGCACATCGCGGTTGATGGTGGGAGAGTGGTATGTCTACACCAACGCACCTGATCCCTACAGCATGTACGCAGGTCCCGCATCCAGCGTTGGGCCGAACCAGGCCTATATCAGTTGCACGAAGCCTGAGTTGGTGGGTGAGGCCCTTCAGTGTTCCTCTGCCACTGCTGGCCCCATCTACTTTTCAGTCAGCTCGACAGCTACAGGCTCTACAAATATCATGCCTTGGAAAGTCGGCTCTGTTCATGCTGGCTACAGTGCTGTCAACTTGGTTGCCGGTTAGTGTGGGGTTGGCTGGAATGGAAGGGCCTGTTGATGAGGGCAAGTTAGGCATGTTGACAAGTCCTGAATTACTTTCTGCTCAAGCCATAGAATAATACCTAATTTAGATCCAGCTTCCAAGCAAGTCACCTCGGAAACATCCAGGGTTGTTCAGTGTTGCTATAGTTAACTGAAATAAAGAACGAGAAGTATTTATAGTTGTATCTCAAAGTGAACATGAAGAAATACTATTTCTAATTCCATCAGCCATGGTCATAGCACTCCTTAATAGTCTAGTCCACCCTTGAGTGGTTCGGTATCCTGTCAAAAGATAATAAACAAGAATAATCAGTGAGAAGCCAACAAAAAAAAACTGGTATAGTTCATGCTGCTCGCAGTAACAGGTAGCTGGGCATACCAGTTTTATTTTGTTGGCTTCTCACTGATTAACTCAGTAAAGCAAAGCTTTACAATCGAGATAAAGCCATGCCTAGTCTCTGCCAGAACCTGCACATCCAAATTCGCCAAAGCCCGAGGCCGTTCCAACCGCGTTGCCTACACATTTCTTCTGAAAGACACCCGTGCGAAACCTCGCAGTCCACTCACGTCCATCGTCACCAAGGCCATAGTCAAAATGCCAAGTCCCGGGAAGCAGTGCGCAGCCCTTGAGTTCGTTTTTGAGCGACTCACCATAATCGGAGCTTGCCCAGCCATGGCCCCATACCCAATAATCGTTGAAAGCCAACTTATACGTGCCGTCACAGCCCGCCTGCTTGCCGTAATGTGCGGCTGAACGTAAAGAGCCCGAGCCACATTGTATGTAGCGCCCCCAACAGTTGTTGAGCCCCCACCCTTGTAATTGGCTGCGTTGTTATCGGTCGAGAGACACCCATCCACAGCCTCCATGAGGTACTTGACGCAGTCCTGTTCGTTGTAATTGGAGTTGAGACCTTCTTCTGTGCTGAGCGAGAGAGTGACTTCGTTCGGAGTGCCTGTGTTGTAAATGCTCGAGACAGAGGCAGACTGTCCTTGCAAACCACGTCGCACCCCAACATCGGGACAGAATGTATCCTTAATGAGACTTGTGACGTCGTCACCCTCAACATAAACGTTTTCTCCCAAGCCATTGCATTCAATGACCTTCCTCGGGTTGTTTTCCTCCGTAACGCCATTCCAGAGAACGCGGACGCCTTCTACTCGCTCCCAACTTGCTTGATCGGATTGAAGATAAGCCTTGAGGTTCTTGACCAGATTACCGTCGCTGGTATCAAAGGGCACAGTATCGTATGACAGAAGATTGGCAATCTCGCCGGCGACCAAAGGCTGAGCTGCATAGTTGGCATTAGCTCGTAGGATACAACCCGCTGGCTCCTATCCACTTACCAAATGATGTGCCCGCGTCCTCCTTTGGAACATTTCCCCCTTTCGGCATGCAAAGAACATCTTCGCCCAGGGCGTGAATAGTCACATGAGGGCCACCCTTGGAAAACCAGGACCTCTGACCTTGAGAATTGACGGAACCAACAACGATCAGCGGAAGATCGGGCCCTTCCATTAGTCCTGGATATTCATCCACATCCGCTCCGTCTGACAATTCCGACTCATCGTTCGACTCATCGTCCGACTCATCGTCATCGTTCCCTGAATTGCACACAAAAGGGATATCCTCGGCAAACAGCTTCTCGAAAACATTCCGAAAGTCGATCACGTCGTCATCGTCCCACTCGTCGGTGGGAAAGGATAAGGCGGTGGAGACGACGCTCCTCTTGTGTCGTTCAGGATGGTCACCGATGTCCTTGAGAATCAGTTCTAGCGCTTCCTGAAACTCTTGGTGATTGATGTCGTGGAGCCTGACGACGACAAGGGTGGCCTGCTTAGACGCGCCAAACTGGGTTCCGAGTGCTTTACCAGCGGTGCAAGTACCATGTGAAGGCATGTCTTCGTCATCATCCACCCAAGGTTCGTCGTGGTTCTCAATCGCCTTCTTGGTAAGAAGATGCTGTGAAGCAACATTTGGAAATTCCTTGACCCGTTAGAAATCAAAATATCCAGATAGATGAAGATGTTAGCTTACTCTGCTTTGTGCCTTGAAAGCAACACCTGTCTCAATATGGTATACAAAGCTTCCTGACCCACCATGGCTTTCATACACATAGTTTTTGAGGTCTCTCAATTCTGGGATTGTACTGTACGTAGACAGCTATTAGCGTAGGAAGTACGAGCTGGCGAAATATCTCCCTTAGCATACCTGGGCTGACTGACGGCAACCAATTCAGTAGCAGCGGCCCTTTGCGTCTCATATGTGATGTCTCGCTTCTTCATTGGACCTCGTAGATTCGGGGATTCGTGAGGCTTTGAGAGCGTCGGGGTCATACGACCTCGTTTCCCTTTATGAACTCGACTCACAACGCTTACTCCGTCGAGCATTTTGACTTCGGCCACCTGTTCATCGGTCATGGTTGCCCACCACTTGCGGATTTTGCCATCCCACATGGACTCGGTAAGCTGACTATCGAGAAGGGCTTTGAGAATGATGCCAGTTGCGTTACATTGGTCAACATTCTCCCAGTTGATGGGACGAATCACGTAACTGCCCTCGACGAATAACCTTTTTCCTTTCGGCGTGCTTATGTCCTGGACAGGGAATTCAACATTGATGACGCGCACAATGTCCTGGTGGTCCTTCAACTTCGCAATCTGGCTCGATGTAGCCCTGAACTTCATCGAAATCAGCTCGTCGTCTGCATCTGACCAAGGAGAGATGTAGTCATGTTCGATAGTTGATTTGACGAGGTCGACAACTGTTGAGGTATCGATACCCTTCTGCACAAACACCTTGTGAAGAGATTTCCCCTCTTCAGTGGCACTATCGATCGCACGACTCATGTTAGCGGTGGTTGATCCCGGAAAGAGGACCAAAATGAAGTAAATGAAAAGAACATGAAGCAATCTCATGTTGATCAATGAGTTTAGGAAGTTATCTGAGTGTTTTTTGATTTGAATTATCAACCAACTCTCTCAGGATACCCCACCAGCGCAATTATATAGTGATCAGCTTTCACACTGAGGCAAACGTACCTCGACTGCCCCTCAGACATGGTAGAACGAATCTGATCCGAATTGCCGATGGTTCTTTGGTTGCTAAGATGATGTGTTTTCACAAGAAAGACGAAGACCGGAGATTTGTGAATCCTCGGCAGTTGTGCGAAAAAATAAGGGCCGAAACGCAACTGTTTAACCTTGGAATTAGCCAACCTTTGTCCAACTCATGTGGCCCCCCCGCTTCATTTATATCGTCATCGATAGGGCTTAGCCATTTGCCTTCTCGGGTGTTCCTCGGTCAGTCATAAAGTAACGTTGTCTTTCTGCGGCCTGAGAAGAAGTTAAGTTGCCTCGGTAATGGTAAATGTTAACTTTGAGACTGTCGTGGGCACTCGCCGAGGACGTTTTCCATCTGAGCGAAATGAGTGTATACAAACGAAGAAGGGTCCTCATCTAACTCTAGCTAGAGTAAAGGGAAGGCCAATTTACGTCAGAGATGATTCGCATCGCTACAGTAAAGGAGACGCTTGCCGCATCAATCGAAAAGAACACCCTGTTCAGCTCATTTATTCGAGACAATACCCGACACATCACGTTCATCTTCCGCAGCCTCGAAGCTGAACACACTGAAACTTGTACCGTAGAAGGTTTTCTCGACATAATGGGTCATAGCCTGGTAACGACAAACATCATAAGAAAGAGGTCGGACCCGGCATGTGCCCACTGAAGTAGGTTCTGTGGTGGTTAATTTGGCGAGCTGCTACGTGTTACTGAACCCGTCCTTGAATAGGTAAACAATCACTTCCATTTAGATTCGCTGAAGTCGGGAAATACGCCTTGTGATCAGCTAGTATAACGGGAATGGGGGTTACATGTGAGAATATGACTGTCGGCTGACAGAGAAATTTAAAGTGCCATAAGTGCCGAATAGTACACGGCTGGGCATGGCTTGGATGATGTTACAAGAGTAGCGCGTGTTCAACACTTGGACCAGCGGCACTTGATCCATTGGACAGAATTTGAACCTTTTCGCTAGCTCTCGAGAATTCCCTCACAGCTGTCGTTTCAAATGAATCTACCTACCTGTATGATTAGATTGTCTAGCACGCAGGGGAGACTAAGACATCTCGCTGTTCCCGAAACGGTTAGTAAAGAAGTAAAGGAGCATTTGATCTCTATCTGTCTCGTACTCGATATACGGGTAACCCCTATATATGCATAGGTGGCTCAACGCGACCGCAAGGCTATTTGCGACCGTGGATCGTAAGCTTCACGGCGCAGCGCATGCAACACCATCACCACATCGGACATATCCAGGTAGTCCACACAGCTTTACTGGACCATCTCACGCTGAAAAAATCACTACAATCGCGACCATGTTGCCAAGAAAAAAAGCCCAATCCAAGCTCAAGAGCCTGTTTACCTTGTCGTGAAAAGCATCTCAGATGCGACGGGCAAACACCAATCTGCCATCGTTGCGCGAGTACAGGCCTTACATGCATCTTCGTTCAATCGCGCAGGGGTCGCCGAGGAGGATCATCGCAGGTCAATCGAGCTACATCGTCGACAACACTATTGCCAACACCTGTGGTTGCGGGTCTTTGCGAGCAGCAAGAAATGACCGACTCATCAGTGTCAGATTCTCAATTGCAGAATTCACTCAGTCAGCAGACAAATAGTCAAAGCGAGGATACTATCTCAATCCCACAAATCGACAATGGCGATGCCAACGACCACTATCTGATCAGGCTGTACTACAAATACATTCACCCGGCGCATCCTTTCCTCTTGCCCCAGAGGATATACCAAGAGAACCCAAATGTCTTCCCAAACCATCTCAAGCGTGCTATATGCTTTATTTCAAGTCATCACTCGGCTTCCGACACGGAGCAGCTTCGCGATGCCAGCAATACCGTGTTTAGCCCTGGTATTACCAACGACGGATTCAAGGTCCAGTCGCTTATCCTTGTCACCCTTGCTTCATATGCTCGCTTCGAGAGAGACCGTGGCAATCAGGCTCTCAGCACAGCGATTGATATTGCCCATCAGATTGGCCTAAACTCAGATGCTTTTCATCAAGATCACGAGCCTCTGTTTCGTGAGAGTTGGAGACGGACATGGTGGGAGTTATACACTATCAGCGGACTCATCTCGCTCATTAGTGGTACCAACATCAGACTATCCCAGCCAGTTTCAATGACACTTCCATGTGACACCGAAGCTTACGACATGTGTCAGGTACCTCGCATGGGCGATGTCAAAGAGATGCAGCAAAGATTCCGACTTGAAGCACCCGCCCAATGGTCTTCATTCGCTTACAAAATCGAGTCCATGTGCATTCTATCTATGGTTCTGGATGCAAATAGCAAAGGGTGCTCTTCCACAAAACAGTTGGCAGAAGCCGCCATCTCGAGCTGGTTGCTATCACTACCAGAGGAGAAGCAGGATAGCCTCCAACCAGATGGTGAAGTCGACGAAGTCATGTCCTGTGCGTTGATGATTATACACCTCGCAGGGATATGTCTTCACCTTCCACAATCACCCCTGGCGCATGTCGGCGACTTTAGAACAGTCTGTGGCAACCATCTTGGCCAAGCTATCTCTGAATATCCAAAAGTTCACAAGGTCGCTGCTCTAAGATCCGCCAAGGCCCTGGCGAGATTATTAACATTTCATCCAAGCGTGAAAACGCTCTCTCCATGCTTTTCCTGCGCGATAGCTTTCTCCTCCGCCGTGTTACTCGCCGAGTATTCGACACAAACATCTCCCAAGCCACTATACTTAGGAGAGAATTTACAGCTGCAGTTAAGCGCTCTCCAATCGGTAGGCCAGACCTGGCCAATCGCACGTGTTGTCAGAAGTCAAATCGCAGGATTTGCAAGAGACGTGATGGACAAGGCTCCGCCTAGCAACTATACCGATGCTACCACAGAGCTGGCACCAATTATGTTGGACGATCAATGGTTTCAGGATCTTTTGAACGAAAATGCCATGTTACCGGAGGAGATGCAGGATGGTCAAAGCTGATCTGAACCCCGCCGCTTCCCAATTAGTTGTGGAATGGCAACGGTGCTCGTCACCTGATTGATGTATGAATATCTTTGTAATCCCATCGTGACTCACTCATAGCGCTATATCAGAATGATAAATGAAGAAAATGAAGAATAAATAGTACAAAATTGCTGTGTAAGCGGTTGTACAGGACGCGAGCTTACCTAGTTGTCGTGTCGCTAATCCTTTGTCACATCGCTTCACTGCCAGGCGGTTCCCATGTTGTGGGATCCCTGAAAGGGTTTTCCCGGTGACCCGGGGACTTGGTCTTCAAAGTTATACAGTAACACTGTACAGGATATTGTCGGTCGCTGCATCGTAATCGATGATGACCTTGTTCAGTCGCTCATCTGCGCTTGTTCCGGAAATACAGATCTGGTTCTGTCAAAAGTCACATCGCAGGATTTGGCCTATGTTATCTTCACCTCTGGCAGTACGGGTGATCCGAAGGGTATAATGATAGAACATCGAGCCTTTGCGTCCTGTGCCCTCAGGTTTGGGTCTACCCTCGGCATCAACAGCGATACTCGCTCTCTTCAATTCGGCTCTCACGCCTTTGGTGCGTGTATTCTCGAAATCATGACGACTCTGATTTACGGTGGCTGCGTCTGTATTCCATCTGACGACGATCGCATGAGCAATGTTCCAGCCTTTATCAACCGGTCCAAAATCAACTGGATGATGGCGACGCCCTCTTACATGGGTACGTTCCAGCCAGAGGACGTCCCTGGGTTACAGACTTTGGTGCTTGTTGGAGAGCAGATGTCTCCATCAGTCAACGCCATTTGGGCCTCTCAAGTTCAGCTCTTGGATGGTTATGGCCAGAGCGGGAGCTCGTCTATTTGCTTTGTTGGTAGTATTAGCCCGTTAGGCGCAGATCCAAACAATATCGGTCTCGCAGTTGGTGCTCATTCATGGATCATCGACCCCAGTGACCCCAATCGGCTTGTGCCAATCGGCGCGATTGGCGAGCTGGTCATTGAGAGTCCAGGCATCGCACGCGACTACATCATTCCTCCTTCAACAGAGAAGTCGCCATTTTTTGGAACAGCACCTGCTTGGTATCCTTCGAAACAACTACCTGAAGGATTGAGATTCTACAGGACAGGAGATCTCGCACGCTACGCATCCGATGGCACCGTTGTTTGTCTCGGTCGCATGGACTCACAGGTCAAGATCAGAGGACAGCGTGTTGAGCTGGGTGCAGTGGAGACTCACCTGCGCCAACAAATGCCCGACGATATGTCCATCGTGGTTGAAGCTGTTAAGCCGTCGGACTCGCCTATTAGCACGGTTCTCGTCGCCTTCTTAATACCTTATATACAAAGCGGACGAGACATATCCCCTAGCTAACCCCGATTAGGCCTAGTCTACTTATATAAATATCCTCTAGCTAACCCGAATTAGGCTTAGTTTACTTATATAAAGTATCCTCTAGTAACCTCTAATTAACCCTAATTTAATATAATAGTATAATCTAGATTATACTTAATTTATATTTTATTATTTTACTTCTCTATAATTTACCCTATAGAGAGATAAATACGCTAATAAAATAAAGAAAAAAGGGAGCTATTTTATAATATAGGGTAAGAACTTATAGCTAGCTTAATAAGAGAGATATAAGCTAAAAAAAATATATATATAATAAAGAATTTAAATTATGCCTAATTTATATTTTATTATCTTATTCCTTTATAGCTTACCTTATAAGAAGGTAATTTAATTAAAGAAAGAAAAAAAAATAAAAAGCTATATTATAATATAAAGTAAGTCTATATAAGAAGTATATTAAGAGAGATATAAGCTAATAAAAATAAATCTAAATCGATCCTGTCCATCGTCACCGTCTCCCAGTACCTGTTCTCCTCCCTGTGGAACTTTACCCCAAGCCCCGGGAATCGACCCAGCCGCTTCATCCTTGGGGTAGCCGCCGGCTGTATCACAGGGGTCATCCTGACGTGTGTCATCG